GAGGAAATATCGCTGTCATTCTCCCTTGATCTCCCAATGCATGCATGTGTCCTTCATTCTTCTCTGTTTTATACAAGGCAGTCAGTGTACGCCTGTTCTATTAGAGGAAAATGTCAATTTACTGTCATTCACACTTCTTGGTGCACCATGGAAGGCAGACATTACTTGGTGTCCTTCTGTGACAGTTAGAGCTGAGCACAGGCAGGTGGTGGCAGCATTGGCCAGCTGCTGTGCAGTGCTGTGCCTGCTCAGGCAAGAGGCGAGGCAGGAGGACCTGGTGCTCTCAATCTGTCAGTCCTGCTGGTCCTCATGAAGGAAGGGCAGAGCTCTGCAAGCTGGGAATGTTTTGGCTCAGTCGGGGTAACTTTTGGTTTACGAAAAATCTATCAAGTGCTGTGTATTGTGCTGAATTAAAGAATGAATTGGAAGAGTACTAGTGGGCTGGCATAGATTATTTGGGGGAACATTAGAGCTCAGTAAGACAGAGAACCTATATGAGAGCTTGTTGTCTTAAATCCGGGCTCATGGCAGCAGCAGGCCTTTGATTATAACCAAGGAGGCCAAGTCCCACCCCCCAAAACAGCTTTGGGGCCTGAAGATCTTTTATATACTTGTGTTGTGCTTTCGTAAGAACAAGCATGTAGAGTGTTACCAATGATCCTTCATTTCTTCTGCTCCTGCAGCGGATTTGTGCCCATCTCTTTTCGACAGCCTCTTTCTGTTGCAGGAAAGCTTGGCTTTTGCTACTATTTATAGTTTGCAAAAGACAGACTGCATGGTTTAAAGACAGGTGAGGGTGAGGCTGATTTTCAAGTTTAGGGCTCAACTTTCTTCAAGTAGAGTAGAGGGAAGATGGCGTTTTCCTTCTAAGAAATGGCTTTCACTGGTGAAGTAAGAAGACCGGAAGAAAAGGCCATCTGGGTGTAGCAGCTGATGGTAATTTGCATTTTTTACTTGTCAAGTGTGTTCAAAGCAAAGCCTACAAGTTAAGTGAAAAGGATGACAATAAAGGCGGCCTCAGGTGCTCTTTGTTTTACAGACAAAGAAGTGACTTGCCACTCCAGTACCCACTGGAGCTAGCTTGGTGCAATGCCAAGGTCCTGGTCAGGTTCCTGTGCTGCCTTCTGGGCAACTGGATGTTGAATAGTAACATTGTATTTCTGCCTTCTGGGCAACTAGATGTTGAATAGTAACATTATATTCAAAGGGGAAAAAACACTGTTTGTGACTGTTCCAAGGGTAGGTGCTAACTCGCCCAGCCAGAAGACCATCTGTGTGACAGTGGGCGTCCAGAATAGCAAGACAATAAAAGTGTTGCAAAAAGGCATATGATACCATTCAATGATGATAATAAAGATGGCCTGCTTATAGTCAAGGAAAACTATTTGATCCCGTTCACACGTACAGATGCATGCACACATGCATGTGGACATACACATACATAAGACACAAACAGGTACGTGTGCATGCATGATACACGCACATCCAGTTTGTAAAGTAAAAAACGTCTTTGTGAGCAAGTCTGAAGAATTATGCTCAGCCCTTTTGAGACGAGGGTAGGAAGTTCACAAGCCCCCTGGGCTCTGTGTCAGAGCGGAACACAGATCAGGCAGAGCTCTTGGGAAACTCTTTTGAGAAAGCAGACAGCAGCTGAGCCTAAGACGGTTTGATTGGTAACAGTTATACTCATCACAGGACGTCACGGGACACTTCTCAAAGTCATTTGTAACTTTGCAGTTTGTGGCTAATCCTCTTACTTTCCCATCCCTTCCGTGTGAGCCTTCCGGTGGTTTAAGGACTTTTCTTTGTAGGCTCCTGCTAAGAGGCAGTCTTTTGCTTTTCACTTCCTATCTGTTTCATTTCCTTACAGAACAGTGTAAGAGTTATCAGACTAGAGCTGCATTTGCTGTAGGTGGTGAAGACACCTGTGTAGAAAAACGTGCCTGGATTACTGGGAGGCTGACAGAGCCTTTCTTGGTTTCTCCCAGATATAGCAAGTCACAGTTCTGTGGGCCATGGCCTCAGGAATGGTTGATCATCTTCACTCTGTCCTAAGCATCCTTCCCCTGTCTAGAGGGCACTTTGTGCCAGTACAGCCTCCTACCAGCAGGGGGCGTGTTCATTTCCCCGTTGTTAGACAGAGGGCAAACTGGATTCCTCCACTCCTAGGACCTGGAAGCAGGCTGCTCCAAGACTTTATCTCACCTTTGATACTTTGTGTTTGTCAGTGGGTCAAGAAGATATGTTTTTTTTCCACCTCTTTCCTCTGTCATTCCTGTGTTTAGAATAAAATCAGATGTTGTAAGGGTAAACTAATATAACTATCTTCCCAAAGGAAACAGAGACATAGGCCAACTAAAATAAGACCAGTTTCCTACTTAAATCTTAGACGGGAAGGAGGAGGGTGAATGGCCCTCTCTCAGAGAACTTTTAGGGAGGCTCCCAGTTTTCTTCTCTGGATGGGCTGTGGAATTAGATTCTGCGTTCTACCGAATATGCACAGATCTGGTTCTCCTCAGTACCGAGTGTGTGTCTGCCTTGAGCATTGTCGTGTGTGTGTGTGTGTGTGTGTGTGTGTGTGTGTATGTGTGTGTGTGTGTGTGTGTGTGCCATCTTTGGTGACCTTCCACAAGCTGCCTGCAGTTTCCTGGAACTCTCAGCTCTGGCTGTATTTAGCCTGAGTGGCACCCGAAGGAGAGCCAGCAGGGCCGTGAGAACTGATTCGCCATCTGGAACACTGGACTAGGACCGTGGTCCAGGAGAGGCTTTTGACATGTAGAAAGGTCTGTGCATGTTTAGTGAATGCCGCTGTGTGCCTTTCTAGAAAGTGAGCATGCCTCTGGGCTGCTGCGGTAGATGGCAAGTCTTATGTCCCGGGAAGTAGTCGCTGGAAGACAAAGGGTTTTACACTCCTATTCTACCTTTTCAGTTTCTGTGGAAAAATCACGACATCTTTCTGGGTCTAGGTGAAAATCTGCAGGTTATCTGGATTGGATTCAACAGCTTCTTCCCTTGATTTTTTTCCCCTTTAGCTTTTTTTTTTTGAGGTAGGAGTTACTCTCACTCTGTTGCCCCGGCTGGTCTTGAACTACTGAGCTCAAGCAACCTCCCTACCCCCTCAGGCTCCTGGGTAAATGGGACTGCAGATGAGTACCACCATGCCTGGCGTTGATCATCTGTTTCTGAGCTTTCTCTAGTTCCAGAGATGCCAAAGCACATACTGCTGCCTGGAGATAGTCAGGCCATCTCTAGAAGCAGGTTTTGTATGGTGGAGTTGTTTTGTAATGTTGTGGTGCTAGGAATTGAACCTAGGACTTTGCGCATGCCTGGCAGGTGGTTTACCACTCCTCTGTATGCCAGACACCTCCTTATTTTATTTTGTCTTGAGAAAGGGTGTCACACATTGCTCAGGCTAGCCATCTTTTTCCCTCAGCCTCCTGAGAAGTTCGGAACTGTAGGCACGTGCCAACAGGCCCAGTTACGCTCACCTCCTTATGAAAACCTATTTCTCTCCAGCGGTGGAGAGACTGGCCTCGCTGACTTCTGTCAGTCTTACCTAATTATGAGTGCCAGTGCTAATGTATGAATGAGAACACACAAGCTCTCCTCACCATTCAGCTCTCTTATATAGTAGACACTAAAATTAAACTACCTTATGGAGTCTTTTATGTTAACACATTGTTAATGGCTTCATCCTGACATTTTTGAGGTTTAATAATGTGATTTGTTAAAGGATTTTGCTTGGGGATAGCATGGAGATTATAATCAGTGTACCGTCTTTTATTAGTGTGAACTCTGAGGGCAGACATTTTGTTTTATCTAGCATAGCTCAACTCATTAATCTCTTTATTTCAGTTGCTCTACCCTGTTGCACATGTAGTTGGAGGTGCTCATTGAACACTCCGCTAAAATGTTTTTAAAAATCATGACACTCACACAAGAATAGAATACAGATGTGCCACTGTTTTGCTAAGCTGTTGAATGAACCAGTGAGACAATAAAGTTCATCTACCAGAGAAGAGTAGGCCACGGATTATGTAGTTGCTAGCAAGACTCTTTTCTAAATTCGAGATAAAATTAGTTATTATGCAAAGGGGAACCAAAGCCATCACTTTTAAAGTAATCTTTTCTTGGCGTTTGTAGTTCCACTGTGAAAACCATAACTGAAAATTCTTAGGGAGACCCATGGAGCATGGGTCTGTGTGATATCACAAAGATGTGTACGTTTCTTTTTGCTACTTGTGGCTTTGAATATGTTTGTCTAAATTGTAATATGGCTCTATTCAAATTGTTATTTCTCCTAGAACAAAGGTTACATGGGGCATGTGATTCTTGTGTGCAAGTATGCACTTTATGCCTAAATTTATATTAGACACTAAGTCCATGCATAATTGTCTTTTCATAGTGGAAAATTAAAGAGAATATAGGAGCAGTTAAGAAAACAGTATGAATTTCCAAAATGATGCTGTATGGGGTTATCATCTAATGAGCACCTACGTGGGCCACAGAAAAGGTTATGGTGTTTATATGCTGTGTGGTTTAACCTGTAAATGGTCCTATGAGGTGGGTATCATTATCTCGTTTTGAAAATCAGATGAATAAGTCTCTGTGAAGTTATGCAATTTAATCAAGGTTCTGCAGCCTGTCTGAGCCAGCATTGAAATTTAGTCTGATTCTGAGTTTTATATTCTCTCTGATACACTGCTATGTTTACCCCTCTAAATAGCCTTAAATTCTCCTAAATTTTAAAATGCATGTCTAGATAAACATGCAGATGATGGGTCCTAATTTGCTTATATAATAAAGCATGCATCCAACAGTCTTTTTCCCTATTAAAGGGTTGACCATTTTGAAGCCACTTGAAGTAAGTTGGCCTTCTCTGATGACTGGATGAACCATGTGTTTTAAGTATTGTGACCTTTCCAGCCACCTCCTGTGAGCTCCTTCCTGGTGACTTATTGTCTTTCTTTTCTCTCTTCTGGTCCCCAATGTGTCTGTAGGTGGGCTGGATCCTCTCCATCCTGGATGAGCTGCAGCTGAGCCCACAGCCTCCTGTGGGGGTGCTTCCCCTGGGGACTGGGAACGACCTGGCTCGGACCCTCAACTGGGGAGGGGTAAGAATCGCAGGTGGCCCTCCCTGCCACGGAGGGGCAAACTGCACCCCCAGATCACTCTGTGCTCATTGCTAGAAGCAGTAAGCTGCTGCTGTCCGGGGACAAGTTAGACACGGGACTCAAATTACCCACATTTATTTGTAGCTTCTTCAGTTTAGACTTAGAATCAGCCAGGGAGGGAGAAGTAGGGTGTGAGACAAACACATGGTTCGTACAGAGACGAGATGAATGTTGAGATAGCCACCCTGACACGGCGAGTGGGTTGGCCTCAAGTGCTCATGTGGAACAATCTTGCAAATTCGCATTCAGTCTGACCCTTAGCCCTGGCCATAATTGCAAACCTGGTAGATTTCGGAATGATCGTTTGAGACAGGCCCTACTTCTTTTGAACATGGTGATTTTCTGGTCATTGTTATTCTAGCTTTGATGATAGCAGTGTCCTATTGCCCTTCCCGTGCTGGACCATTCTCTGAAAGTTGTGAAGGAAGTCCTCTCCTGTCACTAACTGGCTATTTTATGTTGTGTATTGATTGGTATTATTGTACTAAGATTTAACAAGCCACATGATACTAACACACCTAGCCCAGGAACTATTGGTATTGAAGGCTGCTGTGTGTAGTAATTTTTCTAGAGGGGTGTAGTCCCTGGTAATACCTCATGCTCCAGTTAATAACCACACATCCATGTTCATCCAAGAAACTCTGATTAGACTCAGTGGACCATTAAAAATAAGACATGAAAATTGGAAAGGGGCTTGGACGGGGAATAACAGAGGGTAGTGGGGGTGGGTATGATCACAATGCCGTGTATCCATGTGTGGAATTGTGGGAGAATAAAACAAAATGTCTTTAAAAGGTGTTAATGTGTCCACTTGCCAGCTTCCTAAGTCCCCCATACTAGGCTATTGCCTGGCCTGCCTTTCATAGGACGGTGATTTTCAGATCCACCACAGACGTGCATCCGGCCTGTAGCAGAATTAACCTATTAAAGCAGTTTTTGTTGTTTTTTTGGTTTTTCGAGACAGGGTTTCTCTGTATTGCTTTGGAGACTGTCCTGGAACTGGCTCTGTAGACCAGGCTGGTCTCGAACTCACATAGATCCGCCTGCCTCTGCCTCCCGAGTGCTGGAATAAAAGGCATGCACCACCGCCACCTGGCTTAAAGCAGTTTTTGTTGTTACATACTGCTTTTCTTTTCTTTTCTTTTTAAGCAGCTGGCATTAAAAACAAGCTCACTTACATGAAACGACTAAACTATCACCCGTGTCAGTTTCTGCTATGCCAAGCCAGTGTGTGATTACCTTGAGTAACCATGCTGTCACTAACACCTCTCCAGGACAGTGTTGTTCTCATCAGCCCTGCTTCGAGGCTGACTCGCCTCAGGCCACAGCTGGGTGGCTTCCCAACACCAGATCAGGGATTGGTAGATAAGACAGGATCTTCCGTCTTCCTTTCCGCTCTCCCCCTTTCCCACACACACTTGTGTATGGCCCCAATCCCTCCAACAAGAGACACGGGGATCGCGCATTCACTCCAATAAAGCAGCCGTCCAGCGCATGCCCACCGGTTCTCGGTGCCAGCAGGTTGTTTCTCAGCTCAGACTGGCCTAGTGCTTGCATGAGCTTCTTTTAAGCATTATGTTTTACGTACATAGAGGGGGAAGATAGCTCACTCTTCCAGCCCTTGTGTTTTAAAACCAGCAGGACTATGGCCCACTCCGCCTTGCCTTGGTATGGCATTGCCTGTGGCTTCCTGATCCAGACAGCAAGGGTCTGTGCTCTCATTCTGTCCTCAGGGCTACACGGATGAGCCTGTTTCTAAGATCCTGTGCCAGGTGGAAGACGGGACCATTGTACAGTTGGACCGCTGGAACCTCCACGTGGAGAGAAACCCAGATCTGCCGCCCGAAGAACTTGAAGAAGGCGTGTGTAAGGTTAGACAGTTCTTCCTCTGGGGGCTTGAGGAGTAGCTGGGCAGTTAGGAGCGCTCAGTGCTCCTTCAGAGGGTTGGAGTTCAGTTCGCAGCACTCCTGTTGGGTTGGGTGGCTCACAGTTGCCTGGAACTCCAGCTCCAGGAGATCTGGCACCTTCTTCTGACCTCTGTAGATGTGTGTGCACAGATGTATGCATGCTAATAAATAAAAATAGTGATAAACACACACGCAGAGAGAGAGAGAGAGATTGAGAGAGAGAGAGAGAGAGAGAGAGAGAGAGAGAGAGAGAGAGAGAGAGAGAGAGAGAGATTCTTCTTCCACTTATGGAGCACTGGGCATCCCCCAATACATTCCTTAAGACACACTCATGGGCTCCGGGCTTCTAGAAGATAACAGGATGCCTTTGGAATTATGGCTCTTAAGGCTGTGAGTATACCGTCACCACCTCCTTCCCGGATCCCTCTCGACAGCCCCTTCAGGACTCAGATACTATACTTGCTCCAGAGCTCAGGAACCTGTTCTCTGTCTTCAGTTCCACGCGGGGGAAGAATGTAAACAGTTGTTAATCTCTTGAGCTAGATGCAAACAGCTTACAAGAAGATAGAGTATATGTATGTCCCTAAGCATTAGGCACATGGCCTTTCAGTAGGTGGGAAACCTTAGACCCTGCTGGCCTGACATCAAACATCTCTTCTGTGTAGCCAATTGCCTCATCTGCTTGGGACTTGAAATGGCCTAAGTAAGTAGTCTGTCTTGGTGTTACTTTTTGGTGACTGAGCTTTTATGGTAAAAAAAGAAAAACAATCTAACCCAAATGGAGTCCATTGCTGTAAATGAAGTACTGTGCAGCCTCACTTCAGCACCTTAATCTAAGTCCCGACCTGCATCTCTGATTAACTTGGTGTGTGACTGTGTAGACCTGCCCTCCATGTAACTTCTCTTTTCTTCTGTGACACTGTGCCCACCATTTTGCAGGCCCAAGTGTCTCCTGGTACGCTTGTGAAGAACGTGTCTCTCTGCAGAGACTTGGAGTAAGTTAATGTAGGGATAAGGCCCCGCACCTGCACTTCAAATAACAGCCTTGCTAGTTTGGATCCATCCACTGAGCCCAAGTTTATTGTTCACCACAGTGCTGGCTTAAACGTCTCTCCTCATCTCTACTGCTTTTTTCACCTCAACTCCAGTCCTGAAATTAATACATCTTCTATTAGACATGAGGATTGCTCACTTGAAGTCGAGTTCCCAATTGAACATTGTTTAAACATAAACATATGCGATACTTTTAACTGTTTATTTGAGCTAATTGAGTTGGATAGAAAACCACCAATGTAGAAGGAGGGGGAACCTCTACTGAAATGGAAAATTTCAGGCCCTTTCTGCTAAATGTGGACTAACTAGGACTACAATTTAACTCTGTTCCCAAAAGCCTGAGAAACGGAAAGACTTCTTGATGCAGCCAGAGAACGTCAATCCAGATAATTAAAGGGCTTTGGGAATAGAGTTTGGGGATATGTTAGAAAATTGGGGCACATTTTCCTGGAAAATGTGAATACCTTAAAAACAGACTAAATTGGAATATTACTTAGGGAATTGTGACCAGATGTTTTCCTTAGCTTTCAGTGGCTGCTAAGACATGGGTTAGAATTGTAGCCAAAGTAATATAAATGGTAGAATGTTTCTATGATTTTGGCACGATCACCATGCTGTCCTTACAGAGGCTGGGGTTTTGTTGAAGTGCAGGGACTGGACATTCTCAAATACAAAGCCAGAGAGTTAGACATGGTTTTGGCATTACTGTGTAGCTTGAGTTTCTCTCTACTCTGTGGTTTGTTTGAGTCAATTCTAAGGGCTGATGCAACCCCTGACCCATCAAGGCTCGGTCTCAGGGTTTCAATGTGAGGTCCACCTTTCTTTTCACCAGAGACAGACACCAACGGAGGTCCTTCTCAGCCCTCTATTTTAATAAGACAATATTCTCCCTTCAGCTTACCGAGAAATCTTCCTGATCAGTAAGAACTGTGTGAAACACTCTAATGAATGGCTTTGAAACTTCAAAGGCTCAACACTTATTTCTAAGAACAAAAGGGTACAATTCAGTTTGGGACATAAACCTAACAGTTATCCAGGACCATTGCCTCTTTTAATTTAGTGTCTATCTTGCATTCTGTGTCATGGAAAGAAATGTGGGGAGATCATCCTTCTCTTTATTGCACTTTTTATGTGCTTTTCTGGTTGCTCTAATATTGACCTGCAGCTTTTGGATGACATCACGTTTGCAATTTCAATCGGGACTCTCAAGCTTCATGGCATTTCTTCTCGCTGGCTCATAAGAAAAGTCAGGGACTCAGAGCACAGGAGAAAAAGAGCTTATGTATGCTCTATATGGTTATGGTTGTCATAGTAAAGGTACAGATTTAACCAATTAAGTTGAAATCTGAATTATATCTTTATATATTTCTTGTGTGTGTGTTTCCTTTTTCTATCAGCAATGGCTGATACAAATCAAATGGCTGTCACTGCTTATTTCTTATATTGAGGTTTGTGAAAACAAAACAAACTCTTAAAAATAGATTACATGTAAATTATTTATTTCAGGCTGCAGTATTTATGTGTTGCATACAAAACTCTTGAAAAAGGCACATTCACTGATTAGGGAAATTAGACTGGATCTAGCAATTGAGTTTATTTTCTAAATTCATGGAATCAATCTCTTTTGTAACAAGATTGCTATTAAATTTTATTGCACCATGTACAAGGATGACTCTTACTTAGTAATTTGTATTTGTCTCCTTTATTTCCGTTTTGACTGGTGATTTGAACTTCCACTAACAAGTTAATTAAAGAACCTCTGTATCTTGTCCATGAACATACTCTACGGTGAGACATGGCTGATCTGTGTTGCACAAGCTGCCCCAGAGATAGGGTCTGGTGTTGGGTCTAGGCTGTTGTCTTCTAATTGGCTGTGAACAGCATCACCTTCATATTTGTCCATTCTTGCAGCTTCCTCTGAATGTCTTCAATAATTACTTCAGCCTCGGATTTGATGCTCACGTCACCCTGGAGTTCCATGAATCTCGAGGTGAGGACATGGCCCATTTCCGTCTCTCTGGGGGGAAGACCATGTGTCACCTACATGCCTGCATGATGCTGCCCTCTTGTGTGCCATGATGACCCTGGGAGGTGGACCAGATGGGAGCTTGCTATAAATAGAGACTACAGATCTAGCTGCCTTCAAGCTCAAGAGCAGGGACAGAGGGCCATTCCAAGTCACGGGAGTCTTTAAGATTGACTCTTATACTGTGTAGTGAGGAACAAAACCAGGGCTTTGCTCTTGGTAGGCAAGTTCTTTGCCACTAAGGTACCTCCCCAGCTTTGAATGGAAATTCTGAAGGAAATAGAATTCTTAGATAAAGATTTCTTTGCTAATTAGGATGCACGTAGCTCCACAAGCCACCAGACATTAAAGTTTAATACTGAATATCCAGAGCCTTAGAAACCTGACAGGTAAGACGAGAGGGAAAGAAACAGGCACGTTGACACAACAGAGGGACTACAGGTCTTTTAGTTTTGAGAGAAAGGAGTGTGATGGTGGTGAGGTTGCTAGGAAGGTTCTGGGGACCTTTACTGGGTGGGGACAAGTGAGAATGAGGCTGTGGTAACTCCCGGGACAAGATGAGGGACCAAGACTCTGCGAAAGTGAGTAGGTTGAATTGGCAGCTGATGGCTGCTGGAGAAGGGAGAGTACTTTCATTTTTTTTTTGAGACAGGGTTTCTCTGTGGCTTTGGAGGCTGTCCTGAAACTAACTCTTGTAGACCAGGCTGGCCTCGAACTCACAGAGCTCCGTCTGCCTCTGCCTCCTGAGTGCTGGAATTAGAGTCATGCACTACCACCGCCCAGCGGGAGAGTACTTTCTTTGGGGTTGTGGTACCTGGTAGGTTGGACAAGATGCAGTAGAAAGCCCCGCAGCCATGTGTGGCACTAATAACTAATTGAACTCAGCAGATCACACATAAAACTGGGAGACAATGGGCTGGGAGGGCCTAGGGAGTGTCATGGTGGGGGAAGTGGAGGTGGGTATGGGTATGGTCATAATACATTGAATACACATATGGAATTTTCAAAGGATAAAAATATTTTTAAAATGAAAACAACATTATATATCATAGAAAAGTAAATTCAGATATATATGAGAAAAGGACGAAATAGTAAAATATTTCATCTGAGTTTTCTCAACAATTCAGAACTGAGAAAATTTAGGATATAGGTTGGTCAAAGTCTCTTTTTGCCTTCTCCCTCCCTCTCTGCCTCCTTCCCTCCATCTCCTCATTGCTTGCACTCTGTCTGTGGGTAAAGTTCTCGATGCCTCTGCCTTTGTCCTTGGCCTATCACTCTGATGGTACCTAGTGCCCTGTGAATGAGTTTAGATGTAACTGAGACGTAGTTGTGTAAGGTCTGAAGCTTGGGAGACCAAAGGCAAAGTTGTTAGTGAGGAACTGTTTCCTTCATTTCTGGAGGCTCTGCAGGGCTCAAGCGGTTTCAAAACCCCAAACTTGAAACACAAGAGTGCTGAAAACCAGAATCCCAAACTTCAGATTGTGGTGATGAGGAGAAGAAAAATCCAACTCTTAAACACCCTACACATCCACAGTGGAGTGCTAGGGTTCAGATCATTAGAATTCAAAATACAGCTGAAGCACAGATTTGTGAAGCCCTAACTGGGTCCAGCAAGTCTTGTCCTTTGGACACCATGAAGGTCGTTAAGAAAAAGTGTGCATGAAGTTGGATTCTGTGTTACAGAAGAGCTCAAGTACAGAATGAAGAAGGGACTGTTGTTTGTGCTTCCTCTCTGAAAAGCTAGACAATCACAGGCACAATATGTAGATAATAAAAGAACATTAAATGTTCCAAATTGGGAATACCCCAAAGCTGACACATTCCTGCCCCAGCCTAGTCACGGGAAACAGTTATTCAAGGGACCTATGGAGAGTCTCTGTGACTTGTTTTTCTTCCTGTGTTTAAAGAGAGTTCATTTAGCCAGTAAGCAGTAAGCATTTTTTGGTTCCTAGCATATTTCTCCTTATTTCCTTATCTTTAAGGTCCTATGCATCTGGACTACTTAATAATAAGATTCCTGAGTTTCTTGACAATACCAGTAAGGCAACACAATATCACAAATACAAGAATTGCTAAAAGTAGGCATCCTGGCATGAAAAGAGGTCTAACTGATTAAGTGGGCCTGAGTAAGCTCACTCAAGGGGACCTGATTTAAGGCATAATAATTTTGAAAGATATTCTGATGATATACACCTTTGTACAAAGAAGGAACTTTTATGCATCAAAATGAGAACACAGAAAGACACAACAATACAAAGGAATGTGGCTTACAAAGGAATTTTGGGGAAGGAGACAAGTCCAATTGACTAACAGATGCCAAATTCCACAGGTCAACCTCAGAAGTTTATTGCTAAGGCTTATTTTATTTTATTATTTAATATTAGTATTCATTTTTTGACAAATTCATATATGTGTATGTATTAATCTTATGCATGCCACATTCTTCCCTCTCTAGCCTCCTGGGCCACCCACACCCATCTTATATCCTCCAATACTCCTTTCATCTGGGTGCCCGCCCCCTTACCAACTGAGTGTGATGAGTGTTGCTCACCTGCACACGAGTGTGGGACCATCCATGGACACATGGACAAACTTTCCTGGGGCATCCTTCCAAAGAAGATTCACGTTCCCTTTCTTAGCTGCCAATAGCTCCTCAGGGAGGATTGGGGATGTTGAGAGCACCACCTGCTTGCAATTTGAGGCTTCAAGACAGAAGTTGTATAATTTGCTGCAAAATACCTTAAGGGTGACTCAAAGTCTCATGAGAGCCATTGTGAAAAAACAATGGATTGAATAATGTCATGAAAGTATTTTACTCTAAATAGGAATTGTGCCAACCCATCTACTTGTAATGAATAAGTATCGACTGCATGAAGGCAGAGTTTTTAAAATGTAACTGTAGAGAGAAATTCTGGCATAGATGGTAAACATCCCATCAGATAGACAGTTCTTAGAATAGCTAGTTATATACTATTTCTTTTAGAAGGGACGATTAAAGTCACATTAATTTGGGGACAATTTATTAGAATTGTTGCCAGGCTGATGGTTATAGAGTTATCAGTTGAAAGTCAGGGAGAGGGGGCAGTCATAGTATTTTGTTTGACTTTGTAGATAAAGGGGGTAAATGTAACCACTGAGTCTCTCTATTGGATAGATTGAAAGTATGGCTCACTTGGTTGGAAACAGAGTACTGACTGGTTCTTCCCTAAGTGGTCAGAGCATTCCTGGGTGAACTCTTGCTGCTTATGCATCAGAAAGCAAAGTGTTCAGGAGAGGATTTGGAGATGTCATAGGGTTTGTCATGCCATTTTCACTTGAAGTATTGCCCAGTACTTTTATCAGTGCTTGAGGGAGTACATTAATGTTTAGGCATGTTAACAGGGATTATAGCTGTGAATGACAAACTCAGGTCTCATTTTACTAGCTGTGTGAATGAGATTGTCACTCTCTGGGCCTGGATATTAGACACATCAAACTTTTAGCTGGATATCAACTGCTTCCATATTGCTGCCTCATGGAAATTAAGATTTGGAGTTGCCGAACCTTATGCACAAGGTCAGGAAATACACTTATGATCCTAGAGGAGGCGGCCATTTAAATCACTTTAGAATTTGCAACTTTCACTAAATATACAGAGGCATGCAGATAATGTGACTCCAAGGACTGTGACCTCCATGATTCAAACCACAGAAAATGCATTTCCTAAAGAGGCTGTTATGTGTGTGGCTTTGCTAAATTTCTTCCCTGCTAAAGACAATGCTGAGACTCACTGCATGCCACTTTGAGGCACCAAAGCTTAGCCAACTTGTCCTAGAAAAGTCCTCACATCTCAAACCTTCCAACCTTCCATATTGAATGTCTGTGTGAAATCCACTCATCATTTCAGTGTATTCCTGTAATATGTGGTCGTTACATTACTACACGGGTAGAAGAACTGATTAAAACACACTGAGTATCTATTTGATCTGATTAGATTCAATCAATTTTAACCCTAATTGCCTGGTATGACATCTTTGTTTAAAAGAAAAAAAATCGGCTCACACCTGAAGGTGGGTGATAGTGAGCCCAGGAACATGTCAAGAAACTTCCAAAGATGTCTTACCTTTCATTTTCAGACCTGCCTCCCCCTCTTCCTTATTTTTTATTACCACCTCACAGTCCAGTGGTATCAGCAAGTGTTTGTTACATTACCAGAATGTTCCATTGAAGGATAAGCCCATTTATTGAAAAAAAAGAAGTATCAACAGAAGGAATATTACTATAGACAAGTTGTGCAAAGAGTAAACAATATAGGTGTTCAGCAGGATTGGTGGTAGAGGCAGAAGTGTGGGAGATAAGAGAGAAACGTGATAATAGATAAGAATGCAGGTAGCATCATATCAGGCAGGAAGGAAAGTACCTTAGCCCTAACCCTGACCCTTACCCTAACCCTTACTCTAACCCTAACCCTAACCCTGACCCTGACCCTGACCCTAACCCTAACCCTAACCCTAACCCTAACCCTAGCCCTGACTCTGACCCTATCCCTAACCCTAACCCTATCCCTGACCCTGACCCTGACCCTTTGTCTTCAGCATGAGTTAGCTGAAAAGTGAATGCACAAAGAATGGCTTTTCTACAGTGATTGAAAAGTGATATTGGTAAAAGTGACATTTTATATGGCAAAGGGCATTTTAAAATAACCGTAATGGGAGTTGATATTGAAAAGAAGGGTTTTTTTTTCTTTAGTATGTAGAATTTGAGTTAAAGGTGGTCATGTAGCTGTATGCATAGACTATGGCATGTTGTTTTGGATGCCTGAAGAAGCAAAATACAGAAGACACAAGAGCGGAGTGCTGTGGAGCACGTCTTCTGGGCACGAGTGGTCACCACATTCTTGAGGCAGGGCAGCCCTGATTTCCTGTGCAAGACCAGCACAAGACTGCTAGGGAGAGCAGAGAGGCTTAGAAGGCTCTGCCCCTCCC